TTTTTTTTTTTTTATCCGATGCCAGAGTCGCTTGCCAGTGAGTTCAGTGACGCATTTTAAGCACTCCAGAGCTGTTCTAGAGCGCCCAGGGCTGTTTACAGGCGTGTGTATCAGTTTCGCGCAACTAAACTTTTTTTTTCGGGATAAGAAATAGCCTATATCACTCTCCTCTATAGCCGATTCGATTGACCGGATTAGATCGATCTGGTTCAATTTAAGCGAACCACACTGTGTTCGATTGAGGTTGGATCAGTGCACCCTCATCAACAAAAAAATTAATATGTGGTATTAAATTCAAGATCGGTCCAGCCGTTCTCGAATTCAAAAAATAATAAAGTTACGTCGGTTAAATGGCAAGCCTAAATAAGGGCGGGTATTATAAAACTTAAAGTTAACTTTTTGAATTACATGTAATTCCAGAAGGTAACTTTAAGTTAACTCTCAAAGTAGTTTTATAATACCCGCCCTAAATGAAATGTGGCAACGTTGTTTCATGCTGTCAAAAAAAGGTGGGTTATGTTGTTTTGTTATGTAATGTGAATGAGTTTGTTTACAATTAAATAAATAATTAATTCAAAATTAATTTCTTTTTCCAAGAATCGTAACCTATCTACAAACCTTCCTTGGGATGGCCATAACAACTTACCAAAGTTTCATCGTAATCGGATAAGTGGTTTTGGAGCGCATATCCGGATACCCCGCGAAGATTGATTTTTATATATATAGAAAAGCTTAAATTTTGACTGGCAGAAATTGCAGATTGGTACAAGTCCTAATAAACAATGAACAAAATTGCGACAAAAATTGTTTATATGATGAACGTTTTTAACCCGTCTGCCATTTGGTTGAGTGAAATGTAGTTATGAGAATATGCATATTTTCAATATGGCAGAAACCGCAATAAGTTACCTAAGTTGCACATATGGTTGTTAAATTGAAATTTTCTTCCGTTTGCCAACTAAATTGAGTAAAGTTACTATCAAAACAACTGAATACCTATCCAAAAGGCAAAATGACTGCTTATGTACAAATGTTTGAAATCTCACATACAAGTTATAATTTTTTTTTCAATGCCTATCACACATTTATGGGATGTTGCACCAACACAATTTAATCCAACACAACACAATTTAATCTTTGCGATTAGACTTGGATTTTGTGTCGGTGCAACACCCCATTAGATTTTTGACCAAAAATATCGATGTTCACTAATGATATTTAATTTAAAAAAAAAAACAACGATATGAATATTGAAATGAGAAAATCTTGGCGATCTATCAGATTTGGATGACGGCAATAATAGCCATGTTCGTTTTTGTCATCTTTTTCATCGATTTGCTCCGAAATTTTGTGCACATGATTTGTTAATTGAAACTGTCTGATCCAGTCACGTGTCTGTCAAAATTTCGGAGCAAATCGACGAAAAAGTTGACAAACACGAACACGGCCAATGATGATGATAATGGAAAAGTTGACATCAGTTGTGATGGAAGTGACTCCGAAGTGATAGATGACAATGAAAACGATAATAATGATGCTGATGATAATAATGACGATGCTGTTTTTGATGAGGTTGATGATTAGAACATTTTTCTCACAATTTTCTATTGTTCTGCCTTATCATATTTAATGTCTGCCCAGCGACTCTGTGTCTATGGGGCAACGGTAAGGGGAATGCAGTTGTAAAAAAAAAAATGGCTGATTTCATTCGTAAAATACCCAGCTGCGTGCGGAACTTTTTGGAAGTGTTATCGTATTGTAACTCGTACACGAAAATCGACAATGATCAAACCCCCGCCACTGGATATTTCAATATAAATCGATATTCCAAGATGGGAGGATAAAATGACGGAAGTTCTGGCCAATAGCAAGACGTAAGGTGAGGTTAGCCCAATGACAACCGCATGGTTCCCCGTGGCAACGGCCATCCTGCCAAAAACTCCACTAATCAGGTTCATCCAGGCCGGATGCTTGCCAAATTGTCACAAAAGCTGATGGTATCTTTAGAAAATGTTTATTTTTTACAATGGACAAAATTAAAGAAATCAGTTATTAAAATAAGAATAGATCTAACAACCACGTTGAAATATTTAGCGTTTTATTCATAACTATATTTTGTTATTAAAAAATGGATTTTCAAATGAACTATACTTCATGCCTAGTATTTTCGCTTTTTTATAATTAAACGTGTCAACATCGCACATTTACGTCCGAATTCCTTCCGTAGACTCAGGAGTGCGTTCACAGTCGAACGCCGGACGCTCACCGAGTGCACACCGAGCGCGTCTTTTGCAGGGTTAAGTCGTTCACGGATCTACCTAATTCACCCGGTTAAAATATTTGCTCCGTTCACAGAGCCATGATAAGTTTACCTGGTGGTACAACTTTTTAACCCACTCTGAGACATGGGTAACATTTGTCGCGCAGGCGTTTTACAAGCATATTTGAAATTTTATAAACAATACTGTTGGTAATCTTTCTGGGCCATACATTGCTGACTTCAACTGGTTTTCAAGTTTTCCAGGAAGCCAGTTTAAAGCTTCTCTGGAAACTCCAAAATTTTCCTAAAACTCCTTATTGCTATAATTGCGTATTGTTGCCATAAAATTATCCTGTCTTTCAATATGCCTTTTTTCAGGCTTGAACTTAAACTGTTAGCGCTAGCACATGCAGCTTGTGCTACAGCATAGTTGACTTCTTCCTCTGTATCAGGCGAATCCGAAGAAGTTTCAATAGTACTTTGAAAAAATATTATTCCCGGATCCATCTCGAAACATTCGAAACACAACGTATGTAAACAAAAGGAAAACAAAATCAAATCCTACCTCGTTATGGCGCAGGCGTTAGTCGTTCACGGATTTGTCATCCCAAGCGCATCCTTTTCAACCAGTGAAATATTTAACCTGGTTAAGTTTTACCCACTGTGAACGCGCCCCTGAACCGCTAGGCAAACAATAGTTGTCTTAAGAGCAACTTTAATTTTAATTAACCGGTTGTCAGACGGGAGAAAATTGTTTGGACACATAAACATTTTTCGCAATTTAACAATAATTGTGCAACGTATGTAGCTCATTGCGGTTTCTGCCATATTGAGAATATGCATATTCTCATAACTACATTTCACTGAAACAAACGGCAGACGGGTTAAAAACGTTCATGATACGAACAATTTTTATTCCAATTTTGTTCATCAATTATAACAACTTGTATCAGCTTGCAATTTCTGCCAGTCGGAATTTGAGCTTTTAGTAGTAGCTAATTTAATATAAATTATTGGCAGACAGCAAAAAATTGATCTCAACTTTGAAAAATTTTGACATTTTTATTGTTTCTGCCAATTGTTAATATACTTTGGATACATCTGCCAATACATTTCTTGGATTAACTTTGCATGTCAAACTTATCTTCCAAATGGCAGATGGGAGAAAATTGTTTCAACATCTCAGCATTTTGATACAACTTCAAAAATTGTTAAATATTATTATAACAACCGAGATTTTCTGCCATTTCCTTATTGATCTCATATATCCTAAATGTAACATAAATTTAATTTGGCAGACGGGAGGTCGTTGATCCACATGTCCGATTTTGGCGACATTTTGAAATTAGTAATATGACACTTTATACTAACCTAGGGTTTCCGCCGTTTAGCTTCCTTCTACTCATTTTTGTTTAAATTACCTTCACAATGTGTGGCAGACGGGATCATATTGATCCAAATCTCCACTTTTCATTACATTTTCAAATTAGCATATCATTGTATTGTCACACGCGAGCTCTTTGAAATTTCAGCCATTCCACTTCTTATTCCATAAAGAATAACCAACCAGAAGGCAAACTGCCTAATAAAATTTTTGGGAACAATGCGCCGTCACGGCGCGGTGGATGCGATCCGAACTATTTATAATAAAGTTTTCTGTAATCAAATCAGCTTTCAAAATAGTTCTTCCAATGTCAATATTTTCAATATTAGATTTGTTCGGACTTCGGACTTTAGTTCAGAATTGAACTACGCTTTCGCATTTCTTTATATAGGTTTGGTATGACCAAATGCGCAAGCGCAGTCCAATTTAGAACTGATTTTGAACTGAAGTACAAACAAACCTTTTTCCTCATTATTGAATATTGACGGATTTTTCTTCCGAGTAGAGCAAAAACGGCCAAACTTCTTGTGTTTTGTGTAAAACCTGATTTTTTTTTTTGAATTCAGGAAACATTTATCTGGATTTAAAATGCACACCAACACCAAGACGAATTCTCATTCAAAACTATTTTGACATATTTATTTTAAACAGGTAACAGGTAAATGGCGTTCATTCCGCACCTGTAGTTCTGTTTCACTGCAGCGTCCCCAAGCGGATGCGATCCGAAGCTTTTTTTTTAGGCCCCGCCCTCCATCAAGCTTTTTTTTCTATCCGTGAGGATATGTGTTCTGTGACAAGCCTTTTCTACATAAAAAATTTGAAACATTGACAATTTTACATTGCATTGGTAACATAATGTAATTTTGACTTTCATCTTTAAAAAAAAAAACATATTTTATGTGGCCTTCTGCAACTTGTATTTTAATATACTATTAGAATGTTGTTTTCGTTTGACATATTTCAACTTGAATTTTTTAACTGTTTATCAGTGTCCATCAGGTAATTGTGACACCTTTTTAAATATACTGCATTAGGCCCAGTTTTACAATAATTGGTGATAACCTGTACTGATTATCAAACTAAGGGCCAGTTTAACAAACAACGGTAACCATAAGACACTGGGTAACTTACAATAAATCTGTATGGTTTAGGCAAAACCGTTGGTTAAGCTCCCGATTATTTAACTTAAACCTTATTATGCAAATTTGTTGTCAACCCGCAACAACTATTAGTTTAATAACCACCAATTATTGTGAAACTGTACCTTACTATGTATTACCAACCTTGTATGTTCCTCACTCAAATAATGCAAATCGGCAACTTTAGAGTCGTGAAACACAATCTTGCATCCGATACAAACCAGCTCCTCGATATCTCGAATGCCGAAAAGTTCCAAAAGGTTGTAATTGGTTTCCAACCATTTCCTGATGGTTTGCATGTGCTGCTGGGATTGGTAGTGCTGGAGCGCAACCACTGGCATGTTGCAAACGTAGCAGAATTTTTCGTCCAAAAATCTCAATACGTAAGTCGCTAGGCGTTTGTATTGTTTCATGGGTTTTGGATCTCATGAATAAATAAAATAATAATTATTGGTAATTTTTTAGTTATAATAATTTTACCTGTGGTTGTTGAGGTTTTTTTCAATGGTTGATTTTTTTGTTCCATTTCTTCTTCTTCTTCTTCAATGATAGTGTTCCAATCTGAACTCAGATTATCTGAATTATCAGTATCAGTTCTGGATTTTTTCAAATGTTTGTTTGATTGATTGTGCAGTTGCAAGGAAGTGTTTGGGAAGTTTTTCCAACAAACTCTACAAAATGTTTTCACAGCGCTACAAAAAAACAATATTAATATTTTGCTGGAATAATTTTTAGGATAAAATTAGATTTAATAATACTTACTGCAAATGCAAACTTGTCTCGTAATGTTTCAATGCATAATTATTTCCGGACAATGGCAAATTGCAAACTTCACAAAACAGCAGAGCCAAATCGACTGGATTCTAAAAATTCAAAAATAAGACTGAAAGCAATAAAACATAAAAATAGACCGAACGCAATATATGGGATGCTGCCCAAATACATAATTATTATTACTTGCCTCTAATTTTACTATTTCGTTTTCCAGCCATTGCACAACATTATCGAAATGGCACTTGTTCAAATGCTTTTTATTGAATTTTTTAACGTCGGGACAAAATTGGCAATATTTGTTTTCCATAAGTTTGGCAAGTTCAATAGAAATTGATTCTGGAGTTACAACTTTCTCTTCGATTTTTTTAAGATGGTTCAAATAATCAGACAATTTAATGAAATTGTCCTTATTAGAATCAGCTACAATAATAATAATTATAATTATTAAATAAATTTAATATAATAATTAATTACTTTTTATAGTAGTTTCCTTTATTACCACTACTGACTGTTTATTGTCAATAATAACATCTTGCTTTTTTAAAGCACCTGCATAAGATGTTGTACATACAACATTGTCTTCTTTGGTTGTTTCAGGTTTTTCTTTTTCCAGTTTCTGTAAATGTTTTTTTGTACTAAGATGAGTTGAAAAATTGTAAGGAAGTACACCTTTACAACACACAGAGCAAAACCTTTTCGAATTTCTAAAAACAAAATTAACATTATTTGACAATAATTCAAATTATTAACTTACTTTAAATGCATTGCCATAGTGTAATGCTTTTTGGCTTTATCGTTTCCATCCAGTGGTAGGTTGCAAGCTTGGCAAAACAAGTATTTGATATCAACTGGTTCCTATTAAAAAATAATCAATATTTCAATATAAATAAAAAAGTAAGTACCTTCAAATAAGATGCATTATCTTTCAACCATTTCTGTACATTATTGAAATGATTTCCACTGTTATAATGCCGATTAAATTGCGTTAAATCGTTTTGTTTCTTGCAAATGTAACAAAATGTTTTTGTCAGGCGTTTCGTTAATTGCTGCTGAATTTGTTCGGTGGTTGTAACTTGTAAGTTAGAATGTTCTTCGTCCAGATCTTTTTCACGTTTGCCTTCAGTTACTTGCTTCAACTTCATAAAGTGATTGGGTGATTTGGTACCGGATTCTTCTTCATCTAGAATTTTGTTAATGTATGAAACTATATTGGTATTTTCCAGGAGAATATTGTAATTAAACAATTTCACATTTGGCTACAGCTTATGAAAGATTTAGTTGTTGTATTATTTGGGTTTTAGAAAGAATAAAAAAGCTTGTATGAAGACTCTAATGAAAATATTTATGTATTGATAAAATGTGTTTGACTGTGTTAGACTACTCCAACGATTTCAAAGTCAAAACTCTAAGGCTTCAGATTTAAATCATTTGAAGATTCTTTAGACTTTGAAGTCTTATAATGCTCATGACTTATTAGGGCTAAAGACTTACAACTCAAAGTGCCGAAAATTTTCAACATTTCTAAGAATCTACGGCCCTGATTCAAAGCTTTTTAACATTCTGAAGACTCCACGACTTAAAAGTGTCATAATGACTTTATTCAACTAAAGACGTTTCGGAGACAAAATCATTAAAAACTTTAGAGACTCAAGATATTCATTTACAAGATTTTAGAAATTAAATTTTAAGATTTTTCTGATTGAAGACTTATTGAGAATAAATTTTCTAGGGGTTATTATTATTATAGGGGTTTTTGACAGTAGGCGGAAAAACAGGTAGACTCATTAGTTCTTGTGCTGTTCGGTGGAGAGCTTTAGGGAGTGTCCACGAAGATGAGGATTGATATTTCTGTGAAAGAAATCAATGTCGCATGTGTGATGCATGATTATGTAGGATTTTGTATGTTTCGATTAAGTATCCTCTATTTCTGCGTTCCTCCAGAGTTGTCAGATTAAGGGCGAATATTATAAAACTGCTTTGACAGTTAACTTGAAGTTAACTTTTTGAATTACATGTATTTTCAGAAGTTAACTTTAAGTTAACTCTCAAAGTAGTTTTATAATACCCGCCCTAAGAGCTTTCAGTCGTTCTTCATAAGACAATTCTCTTAAAGATGGTGAAATCTTGATGGTTGCCCTCCTCTGGACACGCTCAATCAGATCTATGTCTTTTCTGAAATAGGGATACCAAACCACAACAGCATGCTCCAGCAGTGGTCTGATGTAGGTTTTGTAAGTTCGGAGAAACACTTCAGGGGACATTTCCCTGAAACATCGTCGTATCAAAAGACTGTTGGAACAGTGTCCAACGCCTTTTCAAAGTCGAGGTACACAACGTCAATTGGATAATGCTCTGCAGATGACTTGGTCCAGTGTTCCAGGCTGGACAGGAGATTGGATGTAACTGATCTCCCCGGCAGAAAACCATGCTGATTGGATAGTCGATCACCATGATGGGTCATAAGGAATTCTGTCATTTCAGTAGCTGTGATCTTTTCCATACATTTGCAGGGTATTGATGTTAAACTGATAGGCCTATAGTTTTCAGCTAAGTGTATATCGCCCTTCTTATAGATCGGAATAACAATTGCATTTTTCCACGCTTCTGGGTCTGTGCCATCTGTAAATGATTCTGTCATTGTTCTTGCAAGGATTCCACTCATGGTCACGCTGCAGTTTTTAAGCAATATTGGGGATACATCATCAGGTCCTGGACTGGCAGAGCTTCAGATCAAGCAGCACCCTTTTCACCTTCTGTGGGGTAAAAACAATATTTTCAAGTGTCGGTCCTGACCGTCCGGCTGCGGGAAGTTGTGGTATGGTTGTTTTGTCTTCGTGTATAAATACTCTGTCAAATTGATTGCCTAATATTTCCCCCACTCTTTGTGGTTCAGACTCAAGATGGTTATCTGAAACTCTCAAGACAAAGTTTTGAAGCCCAGACTGAAGCGAACGGTTGATATACTGGTAGAACCTTCTTGGACCCTGCTCTAGGAGACTGTTCTCAAAAGTCGACCGAGCATTTCTTAATGTTTGGGTGATTCGGTTTTTCAGCACATTGTATGCCCGAAGGTCACAATTCTCACCAGAACTTCTTTATAAATGCCATGCTTTTCTTTTTTGGTTTATCAATTTAACATGAGCTCTAGTAATCCACGGTTTTTTAAAGGTCTCCACTTGACGCTGAAGAGGCACATAGACTTCTGATATGTGGTCCACTACTTCAACAAAGTTATCAGAAAAGGTTGTACTGTTTTTTGGTTCCCATTGCTCAAGAAAATGATTTATGGCGTCGTAGTCTCCCTTCCAGTGGTTTTTGTGTCTTTTTACAGCTTTGACAACTGGAAGTAGGGTCATCAGGGCTGTGGCCACAACAGTAACATGATCGGTCTTACCTATTGGGGGTGCAGACGTTATACTTGTCACCAACCTTTCGTCTGATACTAGTAGTAAAGTCGATTAACTGATGCAGTCTTGATTCCTGGTAGGCCAGTAAAAATTCTTCAGCAGGAACACTATGTTTAGTCACTTTACCGGTGGACCAATCTATTTCAGGATAATTAAAATCACCATAAATTATTGTGGTAAAAGAATCGTTTAGCCTGTTTAGCATATCCACAATCAAGTTGTTATCCTCAGACAAACATCCGGGAGGTCGGGAAATACACCCCACCAGCAGCTGGACAGTACCAAACCTCAGATCGGCAAAAACACCATCCACCACAGTTAGCCCGACATTAAATTCTTCTTGCCTTACACAGGAGACTTGATGGCCCTGGATACAATTTTTGATATAGATAGCCACCCCTCCACCTTCCTATTTTTGCCCATGGTCATTTATGGTTGTGCGATCCTTTCTGAATAATGTGTAGCCATGTATACCAATCAAAGTGTCTGGTATGTGTGTGTTCAACCATGTTTCAGTGATAAAAATTAAGTCTGGTTTTTTGTCTAGAATTTCAATGACGAATTCACCAAACTTGGACATGATAGAGCATAAATTGGTACACAACATTAATATGGAGGAGTAGGTTTGGGCATTTAGTTTTTTGAGTGGTCAGTACTGAGGCCATGTACCCCAGATGCTCTAACCTTAATTATTTTTGGAAGACCACTGAAGTATTTAATTTTAAGGTTATCTTTCCCTTGGTTAACTCTTTCTTTCATTTCTGTTAACAGTTTATTGAGGTAGCTTCGCTGCAGGCCTGTTTGGTCATACTTTATATACATATTGCTCTCTTTAGGTAGATTATTTTTGTTATGAAGCACTTTACGAGCTTCCTCCTTTGAGGGAAAAATCACCTTGATTGGTCTCCTTTTCTCTGGAAACCATTGAAGATTCCAAATATTTTAAAAACTATAAGTATTTTCACGGCTCTGGGGTGCGTAACATAAATCTTATCTAAATTGTATCACAGTCAAACTTAAACTTAAAACTACTAACTAATACTGGCCTTTATATATCCGTAATCCATTCTTGTAAAATCCAGAATAAACGCGAAAATCTCTTTGCCCGAATAAGGCAGTATTTTCTAGATTTCAAGTTAGATTCTGTACACCAAGGAAGCGCACTGCTATAGTATGTTGGGATTTAAGACTTGAACATAAAACAATGAAAATTCCAATAGCGTCTGAACCTCATTTAAGACAGAGAAATTATAATTTAATTATTATTATCGGCGCTTAACTCAATAAATGAGGAAATCAAGAGCCAAATTTTGATCAACTGGACTGACAATCAAGAGCCGTGAATATTTCAAATTTTGATCATCACTGGCTTTTGAATCAATACAGAAACAATTTCTGAGGAAATCAACAACCAACAGCAAATTTTAATCCTTACTGACTTGATCATTAGAGATTTTTTTTTTAGGAATTACTGGCTTTTGAATTTATCTAGAAGAAATCAAAGGCCAGGAATAATTTAGATTTTGATCATTAATTACTGGCTCTTGAATCTTATGGAAATCAAAAGCCAGATTTTTGATTGTAACTAGCTTTCGATAAATTTCAAGTTTCAATTCCAAAAGTTATATCAATGGAAATGCTAATATTTGATCTTTGTAGAATTGAAATTCATCGACAAATTATAAAAATCTTCTTCCCCGATACACTAAGACTGAAATTTGAACACCAAAATTCCATTTTTGGAACTCCTAATGCAAAAATTGAATCAGAAAAGTGTAAAATTTTGATTTTGGACCTTTCAAGAGGTAAACCTGTTCAGAAAGACGTCATATTTCATCCTTGTGAAGTTCAATTGAAAAGTTGTAGAAATCTTTTTTTCAGCTCTACTTAAGCTAAAATTTCAACTAGAGAGCATGAGAATTCCATTCCTAGCACTCCTAATGTCAAAATTGAAAATAAAACTTCGGTTTTTTACCATTTAATCGGTTGGAAAAGCTCATTTTTGAATATAATAAAACTAAAATTTAAACACAACAACACGGGAAATTGATGAAAATCGACATTCAAAATCCAATTTAGGCAAAAATGCACATTCTTACATTTAATTTTTTTCTGGAAAACTAGTAAAAGGTAAATTATGAAACTTTTAAGTAAAAAAGAGGAAACTTAAGAGCTCATAATACTAAAATTTCAAACTTTTCCAGTGAAAATCAACAACTTGGAAAGTTACTGAAAATTAATTAAATTAGCCAAACATGCACCTTCTCACATAGTTTTTTTGCTTGGAGACTAGTGAAGAGAAAATTATGAAAGTTTTTGTGGAAAAAGCTCATAATACAGAAATTTCAAACTTTTCCAGTGAAAATCAACAACGTGGGAAATTAATTAAATTAAACAAAAATGCACCTTCTTACATATAGTTTTTTTTTGGAAAACTAGTGAAGGAAAACATTATGAAACTTTTTGGGAAAAAGAGAAAACTTAGGAGTTCATAATACAGAAATTTCAAATTTTTCCAGTGAAAAACAACAACACAAGAAATTAATGAAAATGAACTTTAAAACCTAATTTTGGCAACAATGCACCTTCTTACAATATCAATTTTTTTCTGTAAAACTAGAAACGGGAAAATTGTGAAAAGAGGAAATTTAGGAGGTCATTACAGTAAACTTTGGAATTTTTCCAGTAAAAAATAACACCCTGGGATATTAATGAAAATTAACTTGCAAAATCCAAATTATGGCAAAATGCAATCTCTTATATTTTGATATTTTTCTGGAAAACTACAGGATAAAAAGAGGAAAATTAGGAGCTTATTATACTGAAATTTCAAATTTTTCTCGTGAAAAACAACACCATGAGAAATTAATGAAAATCAACTTACAAAATCTAAATTAAGCAAAATTGTAATCTCTTATAATTTAATATTTTTCTAGAAAACTACTGGAGGGAAAATTATGAAATTTTCAGGATAGAAAGAGGAAAATTGGGAACTCATTACACTAAAATTTCATACTTTTCCAGTGGAAAACAACAACACAGGAAATTAATGAAAATAAACTTTAAAACCTAATTTTGGCAAAAATGCACCTTCTTACATGTCAATTTTTTTCTGGAAAACTAGAGGAGGGAAAATTGTGAAACTTTTAGGAAAAAAAGAGGAACTTTGGGAGGTCATTACAGTAAAATTTCGAATTTTTCCAGTGAAAAACAACACCATGGGAAATTAATGGAAATCAACTTGCAAAATCTAAATTATGCAAAAACGCAATGTCTTTTAATTTAATATTTTTTTAGTAAACTACTGGAGGGAAAATTATGAAACTTTCAGGATAGAAAGAGAAAAATTGGGAGCTCATTACACTAAAATTTCATACTTTCCAGTGAAAAACAACAACACAAGAAATTAATGAAAATGAACTTTAAAACCTAATTTTGGCAAAAATGCACTTTCTTACATGTTATTTTTTTTTTGGAAAACTAGTGAAGGAAAAATTATGAAAGTTTTTGGGGAAAAAAAGGAAACTTTTTTAGTGAAAATAAACAACGTGGGAAATTTCTGAAAATTAATTAAAGTAGACAAAAATGCACCTTCTCACATATGGTTTTTTTTTCTAGAAAACTAGTGAAAGAAAAAATTATGAAACTTTTTGAGGAAAAAGAAAAAACTTAGGAGCTCATAATACATAAATTTCAAACTTTTCCAGTGAGAAACAACAACACAGAAAATTAATGAAAATCAACCTTAAAACCCAAGGTACAAAAATGCACCTTGTTACATATCAATTTTTTTCTGGAAAAAATAGAGATGGGAAAATTGTGAAACTCTTAGGAAAAAAAGAGGAAGTTTAGGAGGTCATTACAATAAAATTTCGAATTTTTTCAGTGAAAAATAACTCCTTGAGAAATTAATGAAAATTAACTTGCAAAATCCAAATTAGGGCAAAATTTAATCTCTTATATTTTAATATTTTTCTGGAAAACTACTGAAGAAAAAATTATGAAACTTTCAGGATGAAAAGACGAAAATTAGGAGCTCATTATACTGAAAGCAATCTCTTATATTTTAATATTTTTCTAGAAAACTACTGGAGGGAAAATTATGAAACTTTCAGGATAGAAAAAGGAAAATTGGGAGGTCATTACAGTAAAATATCGAATTTTTCCAGTGAAAAATAACTCCTTGGGAAATTAATGAAAATTAACTTGCAATATCCAAATTAAATCAAAATGCAATGTCTTATGTTCTAATATTTTTCCGAAAAACTACTGAAGGGAAAATTATGAAATGTTCAGAATGAAAAGAGGAAAATTAGGAGCGCATTATACTGAAATTTCAAATTATTCTCATGAAAAACAACACCATGGAAAATTAATAAATATCAACTTGCAAAATCTAAATTTTTTTTTCTATATTTTAATATTTTTCTAGAAAACTACTGGAGGGAAAATTATGAAACTTTCAGAATAGAAAATGGAAAATTGGGAGCTCATTATACTAAAATTTCACACTTATCCAGTGAAAAACAACATTTTGGGAAATTAATGAAAATCAACTTTCAAAACCCAATTTGGGTAAAAATGCACCTTCATACATATCAATTTTTTTCTGGTAAACTATGTAGAAAAGAGAAAATTATGAAACTTTTAGGATAAAAAGAGGGAAATTAGAAGCTCATTATAATTATGTACTAAAATTTCTAACTTTTGAAGGGAAAATTATGAAACTTATAAGATAAAAATAGAAAACTCAGGAGCTCATTATACTAGAATTTTCAAACCTTCCCAATGAAAAACAGAAAAACAGTAACTTGGGGAAATTAGTAAAAATTAACCAAATTAGGCACAAATACATGCTTTTACATTATAATATTTTTTTGGAAAACCAATGAACGGAGAATTGTGAAACTTTTTGGGGAAAAAGAGAAAACTTAATAGCTCATTATACTACAATTTGAAACTTTTCTAGTGGATAACAACAACACGGGAAATTAATGAAAATCAACTGGGATTTGAAACCCAATTTGGGTAGAAATGCACCTTTTTACATATGAATTTTTTTCTGGAAAACTAGTGAAGAGAAACTTATCAAACTTTTACTATAAAAAGAGGAAAACTAGGAGCTCATTATACTAAAATTACAAAGTTTTCCAATAAAAACCAACTACAATCTTAACAAAATTACAAATAAAAACATCTTTAAAGTCAAACAATTCAAAGTACAAAAACTTATCAAGACAAATAAGGCCATAATAATAATTACCAGAACTCTGCTCAGACAAGTCAAATTCAAAGTTTCTCGTCCCACGTCCATCGTAAACAACCAAATTTTCCTTCAACTCCTCATAAGTGTACAATGGTGGTTTGTTGTCTTCATCGTTCGACTCAGAGCTTGAAAAATCTTCCAACTTTTCACTATGAAGATTATAAAGGTGTTGAAACTAAAAAAAATAAAAACATTATAATAATAATAGAGAAATTTGTATATTTTATTTGGTACTTACTGACATATTTGCATGAGCAAGAATGAATAATAAATTAAAACTGAAATCTTTTACGGTCTTGACTTATCAACATTCTCGATAAACCAACAATGAGGTGCTTGTGTTTTTTTTTATGGGCAAATTGTAGACCATGCATAAATGGGACTTTATCAGTAATTGGATAATTATTATTTAAAGCAAAGGTAAAGGAAATAAAAAGGATTACGCAATAATTGTTTATAGAATTATATTAAAATTATTTTTATTAATCCAGAAATAATAATAATAATAATAATTGTAGTTCGATTTTATACATACTACATATTCACTGGCGTATAAAAAATTATAATATTTTTGTACTCTCACAAAAAAGTTGTATAGGTATTGCAAACCAAAAAATATTGCACAGTGGAACTTGAGATTTCATTAAAAGATTATTGGTAAAAAGCCATAAAATAAATTCATACGTGCTTAAGAGCAAAAATCCTTATCTTTTTTTTGAGTCACCTATTTATACGTAGTTGCAAAATAAATTTAAGGAAAAACCACTGTTTTATGTAAAAATATAATACTTATTTTTTATGTTACTAGTCCTAGAAATAATTAGTTAATTAAGTACAAGTACGGAGCCTTTCAAGAACTAGTAACACACAGAACTTACTTAAGATTACAGCTACTACAATATGACAATCATAATTATGCTAGTTCGTATTCAAATACAATAATTCTTGGACGTCACGACAAAATTACAAATAGAATTTTTTTGTAAAACAAGAATAAATCGTCTTTGGGGTTTTTAATAGAATTTGTTACGGAATGTTTTATTTTTCATTGAGCCTTTAATAGAGCAGGAATGTCATTGAAAAAGTCTTACACACAAATTAAAAACCCAAAAACGTAAATTCCTATATATGAAATTCAAACATTCCTCCAACAACACAATCAATCACCCAAAACCCCTCTTAAACATAATGATATTTTGTATATTACATCTATTCGAAAGTACCGTCAAACATGGTACCTAAATCGCCGAAAGGCGCTGGTCCGCTACCGTCCAACATTTGCAACATATCGCTCAATTCGTGCGGTTGAGGTTGAGTAGGTGGTCCAGTAGGTTGTACCACCGCACCTGGCTCAGAAGTTTGAGCAGTACCTTGCCAACCGGCCCATTGATAAGTAGCTGGAGCAGGTGCTGGAGCAGAAGCTGCTCTACCAGCACTCAGTTGAGTGTAAGTAGGGCCTGGTGAACGAGGACTTGGGTACTGATAACTGTCCTTGCTTAATCTTGTTGTTGTAGTAGCAGGAGTTTGAGATGGGGAATTGTACTGTATAGGGGATTGAGTTGGTTCATAAGTGTAAACGTTTTGTCCGCTGTTTGGTCTTGCTTGTTCGGCCATCAAACGCGGATATCTTTCGTCTGGACGCTCGCTACAACTCGAAGTAGACGTCATTGGCATATTGTACTCAGGCTGCAAATGAGTGTTTGGAATCATGTGCGTGTACAGGCCAGTTTCGCGCCTTTGCAAACTATAATCCAAACCTGGCTGTTGATAGTTCACTTGCTCTGCAGGTTCAGTTGTGCTTTCTGTCGTGGAATGTAGAGACTTGGCAGTTGTGTTTGTGCAAACAATATACTCAACTTCGTCTGTGTAGGGATTAAGGAATGAAAAAGCACTAGTCCTCAACCAAACATATTCACGATTTTTTGCTCTGAATCTGTACATAACTGACAACACTTGGCCTTTGAGTTTCAAAACTTGCTCAAAGCTATCTTTCATATGAGTTTGATCTTCGTGATGAAACAAATCAAAACAACTTTTGCCCAACAGCTCAGGTGGCGAATAACCCAACAATCCCATGACTCTTTGATCAACAAAAGTAAACTTCCCATCAGTAGAATGGCGCGATATAAATTCTGCAAGGTTGCTGGTACCAGTCAAGTCACTAGTATTCGGTGTTGAGGTCACTTGTAGTCGGCCAATTGCAACCAAACAGCAATGTGTAGTGTCTTCTGATTGGCGGTCCATTTGATGTCCGGCAAACATATCAGCAGGAGGCCAATTTTTAATGTACCCTGTACAGTGAACTACAGCAAAATTTTGTCCATCTCTTCCAGGCCCTAAACTGTTACGTTGTTTGAGCCTATTTAAGTGACCAACCCCCATATTCTCCGGCGACAAATTGCCAATTTTCATTCTACAAATAAACCCTCGGCGAGAGCCCATACACAAACGCATAGAGGATTGATGTCCCTCTTTTTTAACTGTGCCAGTTTTCAAATCCAAAATCCTCCCAGTATTTTGCGGTTCTTGAGTCGACAATTGCTCTCTAACCTTTTCCACATCCTCGGGATGCAAATTATCATAAATACAAGACCCATACCAATCGCTTTGGGTAAAATTTAATACTGGAGCCACCGAATCCGATACGTAAATCACCCTTCCAGTGTCGCAACTTATAACAAACAAAAACCCATCGGCCGCCTCCAATATTAAATGTTTCAATTCCTGGTCGGTTAAAAACGAAGGTTTGTAAGTACCGTCGGTGCTGGTGTTGCCGGTACCTCGTAGCGCTTTCATATGGGCGACCGCCATGCGCAGGATGGTCAGTTTGTCGGGTTTTCTAGCCAGCGCGCTGCAAGTTGGCACCATGTCCGACAGTTCGGTTATGTAGGCCGTCATCTTGTTGCGGCGTCGCCTCTCGATCTCGCAATGGTTCTCCCTACTAGCAAACCTTTCTTTTTCTTGAATGTTATCGTCTTCCATCCTAGGGTATTTGCTACCGCTCGGGTCATCTTCATCTGACCTGGAAACAAAGAATTTTTGCTTATAATATGACTGGATTTATTTGTTTGTTTAAGAAAACAAGGGACTAGGGAGAACCATTTTTTTTTTTTAATATTATGGTTGAATCTCTTTGAAACATGCGAGATCAAGAGGGACAAACAAAGAGTAAATAAATAAAATTTGACACTATATTGACACTATATTTTCATTGGTTTTCTATTCCCGGCTCTTGAATTTTTTTCATTAAAACATGTTTAGAAATTGAACTACATATTTTAGAGTTTTTTTATTAAGTTCCGGATTATTCATTTTCAGATAAACGATAAACTTGCTGGTAACTATCGACTAGATAAATTTACCGTTCTATAATTCTATTGGTCAATGGCAACTGACCGACCAATTGGATTTACCTTATTGGTTTTTACCCGTCTAACAGTTTATCAGAAGGTGAATAAACCGGTCCTAAGTAAAATAAATTCGAAATGAATCTAAAGGCGCAGAAATAGATAACAGGATTTTTAAGTTCTTTGGCACTATGATTTTTGAATTCCGCGCCAAAACTGAGGGGTCAACACCTGATTGGAAATTTGTACACCTACTGTAAACTGGCCGTTCTAGTTGAGTATTATTAGAGTATTGTCATGTATTGTCACTTTATTCTAGGTATTGTATGGTATTGTAGGGATTGTCAAGTATTGTTAACATATTTTAAGTATTTAACTGGTACTGTCGGGTACTTTGGATGAAACAGCAATACTTAACCTGTATTGTAAAGCAATTTTTAGTACTGTTACTAATGTAGAAGTACTGTCGGTACTGTTTATGTATTTTCAGAACCAATGTTAGTACTGTTAATGTAATAGACCTATCTATTTTACCAGACAAAGAGGTAGTAATACGAAAACTTCATAAGATAAAAAAAGACATAAAACGCCTATTGCGCAAGACGAAGCAAAACGTACCAAATTATTTTAGACTTACGTATAGCAATCCGTTTTTTTTATTTGCACAGGATAAAAAGGGAAGGAGAAAGACCGCGTGTTGTGCAACGTATTTGTCAATGAAAATTTCAATCAACTTTTGGTTGTCACTTGTCAAGCTATGTCAAGTTGAATATCTACCGTACTTTTATGCTTGTCAGACCACGGGCACTGAATAAGGACAAAGAGATTCCCAGCGTGCAAAAAGAACACCTCACACCTATACTAGTTAGCCAATAAAAAGGCTTTGCCTCGTGTTGCGCGCGCATACAGGTAAAAATAGATAGGTCTATAATCTTTGTTATTGTTAAGTGTAAATTGTGTGCAAAAATCACTGTTGATGGTTTACTTTTATTGACAGCTCTTGTTTATTAGCTACATATTTTTTAAGCTTTATGCACTATGCATTGGTAACATGCCAATTGTGTGATCGAATGTGATGAAACTAGGAAGTTTTACATGGCGGACCCCGTATGTAAAACGTTTCCGCTTGTTAACTAAACCTACTGATAACTTATTATATGTATAGGGTGTCTAGAATACCATGGGCCACCATTGGTAGGTATATCGGAAACGGTAAGAGATAGGATATACCAATGATGGCCCATGGTATTTTTGACACCGTGTATATTGTTTATCAATGCCTAAACCCGTTTTACCGAGGGGATTTCGAGTTTGTTAAATTTATTGGGATTTCGGGATTTCAGAAGGATTTCAGTTGGGATTTCGTAAGGATTTCGGATAGAATTTCGCTCTTCGAGCTTTCGAATGGATTTCGGGATTTTCAAAGGATTTCGAAGTGATTTCACGAGATTTCGAATGAAAATGTACATTGATCTCGGGAGTAAGCCGCCCCAAGATTTTCCCCAAATTCCAGTGAGAATTAGCAGTTGCGCAGTTGGTAGTAATGAAATACGCGATCAAATCATAGCTTAAAATACATCAAAATTAGAGCAAATTCTGTTTCGTGGATTGATATACAGGATTAGTAAAAAGTAATGCAACACTTAAATATCTTCAAAACTGCTTAAGCTGCGTTCACACAATTCGGAATCTGACAGTTTTTAGACATAGAATTCAACAGTGCTATTGTTTGCCAGATTTCTCAGTTTTGCGCTACACGTAGTCCTTTTGTTATCTTAAATAGAATGACCCATTTATTTTTATTGCAATGAATTGGGCGTATCAAATTTGATAAGACTACAAATTTTCAGAATTCTATCTTTACTAGTTATTGAAATATGACAACACCGTATTTTCGGTGAAAAGTATCGCAGCGCTTGAATATCTTTAAACGCCGCTTAAGCATGTTCACGAAATTTGGTATCTAGGGGAGACTTTGCTAGGGGTTTTTGGGCAAGCGAAATTCAACCGTGATATCGACATTGTTGTCAGATTTCCCAGTTTTGCGCTACTCGTTGTTATCTTGGATAGAATGCCCCATTTATTTTTATAGCAATAAATTGGACTTGTGAAATTTCATATTTCTGGGCGTTTCCGATAAGTTTGCGGCTCCTCCTGAGTCCTGAAATAGGTAGGAAGGTAGGTAACTATCCCAGAATGATTCTCACTATAGTAGTATCTAACAGTAAAAGAACCACATTGAAAATTTGGAATCTCATTAAAATTTGGAACAATTCATTGCAATAAAAATAGATGGGGCATTTTATTTAGGATAACAAAAAGACTACGTGTAGCGCGAAACTGGGAAACTTGGCAACAATGCCGATATCACATTGAATTTCGCTTGCCCATAAATTCCCAGATACCGAATTTAGTGGATGAGCTTAAGCGGGTTTTAAAGATATTCAAGCGGTGCGATACCGTTCACTGAAAATGCGGTGTTGGCATATTTCAGCAACTAGTAGAGATAAAATTCTGAAAATTTGAAATCTTATTAAATTTGGCACGTCCAATTTATTGCAATAAAAATAAATGGGGCATTCTATTTAAGATAACAAAAGCGCAAAACTGGGAAATCTGACAACATTTCCAATAGCACTATTGAATTTCGCATATCCAAAAACTGTCAGATACGGATTGTGTGAACGCGGCTTAAGCAGTTTTAAAGATATTTAAGTGTTGCAGTACTTTATACTAACCCTGTATGTATTTATTTAAGGTCAAATACACGGCTAATATTTCTGTTTGACACTCACGTATTTCTTTCTGTAGTAACTACATGTAGAAATACACGAAAAAATACACGAATAGGTAAAACGGGCTTTATTGTATATTATAAATACTTACAGTCGTGAGCATAAGTGGGACACCCGACTGACAGGTCTTGTCATTTTTTGCTTTTCTGGGTAAATCAGTCTTTTCTGTACAACGGATTTTTTGTCAAATATGACAATCCCTGTCATTGCCGACGGTGGAACTGGTGAGCCCGTTTTACAATAGGAAAAATAGGGTTTCCCATTTTTTGCGCTCACGACTGTACATTTTCACAAAACTTTCTTTCACTGCAATATGACACTTCACTCATTTTATTGCGAATTTGTGAATGAATGCACTTCTCTGCTACTTGGCCTGTCATGTAGTGCAACGCTTTTGAAAGTTCGTAACCCGATTCACACGTATTCCTTTAGTATTGTCAAGGGATTATCAGTATTGTCGGCAGTTACTGTGAGAACTGTAGGGATACTGTTTAGTATTTTTGACGGATTTTTGGTATTGTTTCAGTATTGTTAGTACTGTAGAGCTATTTTGAAAGTATTGTGAGTAATTTTAGGTATTGTGACAGTTGCTATGAAAATACATGGTATTTTTACAGACCTATGACGGTATTGTTTAGGTATTGTAGGTACTGTGAACTAATTTGTACACCTACTGTCAGGAGGTGTCGACCCCTCGGCCAAAACTGGCTTTATGAAGTTTTCGTCTAGCAAGAGAGGTAAAGTATATGATTGCAATGGGAAAAAATGAAAAAATAAATTGAAAAAAAGCAGGATAGCTATTCTTGAAACCAGGGAACAGAGTTCTTATGTGAACCATGTCTTTGTCAGTGTTATGGGAATATTAATATAAGTGACGAAGACATAACCCTTGTTTTCATGAGAACGCTACCCATGTTTTGAGAATACGGACCCAGATCTATGAAATTTCAAATTTTTTTTTGTTGAGATTTTTTTTCCTAATGGTTCTTTGGAATCCCCCGAACTCCATAAACTAAATTATTCCGAGATTTAAAGCCGGATTCTATAAAAAAAGGCACTCAGAAAAATTGAAAAATTGATAAATCACCCCAAATTGCTTAACACGATTTTATTTCTGAAACTATAACTCCAAATGAACTGAAATTTTTAAGGATTGTAGTCCTCTACTGAGATAAGAATTGCTGTGGAAAGAAAATTCCCATAAAATGTTAGTGATATTCTGAGGAATTTCTAAGAAATTACAGGAAATGTCAGTGAAATTTCGAAAAATTTTATGAAAATTTTGTGGAATCCCAGGATATTTCAGTGGTGAAGTTTCGGAGAATTTCAGAGTTTCAAAAAAAATTACGGAATTTGGAATTTCTATAGAATTTTTGAGAATTTTAGAGAATTTAGGTGGGATTTCGTAAAAAAAAAAAAAATTATAAAATATTCGCAGAATTTCCATCAAATTATATATAATTTTACTTTGTTTCGATTTACATAAAATTTCGATGAAATGTCGAGTAAAATTCCAAAGAATTCTCGTCGAATTACATACATGGAATTGCTTGAAATCTTATTGTGGAACTCCAGTGAAATTACATGGAATCCGAAGAATTCCCTTGGAATTAAACAGAATTTCCGTGGAATTTTCATGGAACCACGAGAAATTTCGGCGGAATTCCGAAGAATTGAATTAAATTTTAGTGAAATTCTGAGTAATTTTTGTTGAATTGCATAATATTTTACTGTAATTCTGAGGAATTTTTGTACCATTGAATTTTATTGTAGAATTCCATGGAAGCTTATGGTAAAATTCCTTGGACTTTCTGTTTTTCTATTCAAATTTGTCATTTGAATGGAATTTCGAGGGATTCCATAAAATCTTTTAGTGAAATTGTAAGGAATTTCTATGGAATTAACAAAAATTTTCGCAGAATTCCCATGGAATAATTTGAAATTTTAGTGGAATACCGAAGAATTTCATGAAATATCATAAGTAGTGTAATTCCCAGGAATTTTTGTCCAAGAATTCCATTGAATTTTATGGTGGAATTCCATAGAATCATCAAAAACCCCTAAAATGCTCCAGAATCACCTAAAATTTTAAAAATCTAAAATTTTCTGAACTCCTGTAAAATTGTGTAAAGATTTTCAAAATTCCCTAAATTCTACAAAATCAATTAAGATTTAAAATATGTGTTCATTATTTAATAGAGTTAACTAAACTTCGGAGCGGTTGATTGGTCAAAATCTGTGTACAAGTCCAGAAAAACTTGTAAGATATATTTGAAATTCCTGAAAATCTTTAAAAATTTCACAAAACCTCACAGAATCCCTTAAAAATCACTTAAAATCGCATAAAATTTCACAAAATCACACAAAATTCGTATACAAGTTGGTCAAAATTCCAGAAAAACTCGTAACATCTACTTAAAATCCCTGAAAATCCTTAAAAATCTAACAAAATTTTATTAGAACAAAAAAAAATCCGGCAATATCCTATAAAATTCCTTTAATCTTTCCAAAAATCCTTTGGGATCCCCAAAATCCGTTAAAATCTCTAAAAATCCTTTAGGATCTTTGAAAAACTGTTCCAAAATTACCTAAAATCTTTCAAAATCCAGTAAAATCATATAAAGATTTTCAAAATCCTCAAAATCCTACAAAATCAATGAAGATTTAAAATCTGTATACATATTTTAAGGAGTTAACCACCCCTCGCTACCTTCTTACTGAAACGATGAAATTTCAATTTTTTTTTGTTGAGATTTTATTTCCTAATGGTTCTTTGGGATCCCCCGAACTCCATATACTAAATTATTCTGAGATTTAAAGCCAGATTCTATGAAAAAAGACACTCAGAAAAATTGAAAAATTGATAAACCACCCCAAATTGCTTAACAGGATTTTATTTCTGAAACTATAAGTCCAAATAAGCTGAAATTTTCAGAGATTGTAGTTCTTTACTGGGATAAGAATCGCTGAAAATTTCAGGTTTCTATCTATAATAGAAAAAAGTTATGACCTTCCAAAGTTTTCCAAAATCTAAATCATAAGGCAGGTACTTTCTTGCTAAAACGATGAAATTTCAAATTTTTTTTTGTCAAGATTTTGTATCCTAATGGTCAATCAACATACCCCAAACTTCATACACTAAATTATTCTCAGATTTGAAGCCGAAATCTATTAAAAAAGGCACTCAGAAGAATTGAAAAATTGATAAATCACCCCAAATTGCTTAACACGATTTTATCTCAGGAACTATAAATGCAAATGCGCTGAAATTTCCAGGGATTGTAGTTCTTTACTGGGATAAGAATCGCTGAAAATTTCAGGTTTCTATCTATAATAGAAAAAAAGTTATGACCTTTCAAATTTTGCAAAAATGCAATCTCTTACATTTTAATATTTTTCTGGAAAACTTCGGAATGGAAAATTATGAAACCTTTAGGGTAAAAAAGGCGAAACTAGGAGTTCATTATACAAAAATATCAAATTTTTCCAGTGAAAAACAAAACCATGGGAAATTAAGTACTGAAAATCAACTTACAAAATCTAAATTAAGAGAAAATGCAGTCTTTACATTTTAATATTTTTCTGGAAAACTACTGAAGGGAGCATTATGAAACTTTTAGGATAAAAAGGGAAAAACTAGGAGCTCATTATAATAGAATTTCGAATTTTTCCATTGAAAAACAACATTATTATACTTACCAAAAATTCTTATAAAATGTCTCTTAAAACTTCTCAAGCAATCATTTCTTATTAAAACAGGATTTATTAATTAAGAATCTTTTCATTGGATAAAACCGAGGATAAAACTTATTGGAATTGTATCTCTGAGGCTCAGAAACAAAGTTAAAAAAAAACAAAAAGTAATTCAAAAGCCTGGAATAGACATAAATTGAGATAAAAAAAAGTTGGAAAATAGACTATAGGCAACTCGAACAGTAAATACAATTTGGATACAAAAAGGATACAGAGGATACTATTTATATACTTTTTTGTTACAATTTACATTACAAATATGTACAAACTTCGAGACAAACTTTCAAATTTCTGGTATTTTGTATATTGTGTCTTCAACCTTACAGATGCTTTGTGATTTACCTAGGTATAATCCTGAGAAAAATTTCAGATAAAATTGTAAACCAAATAATAATAAATGATCTCAAATTGTTGCAAAATTGTATTTTATCATCTCTCCTCTCACACCCATTCTTTATACATTAAACCTCCCATTAAACTTTATAGAATCCCTTGGAAATAAAATAAAATATGCAAATTTATGCCAACCATGTCTTTGGGCGCTTGCACATCAAAACTTTATTACTTTTTGATACCAGGAAATTAACTCTGAGAATTTGTAATGTGTGTTACAAACCTTACAACAATGTAATATTTTTAATAGCCAAACTGATAAAATTTAAAATTATGTGTGTGTGCATGTTTGAGTCATGCTTGACCACAAAGTTTTGAAGATAAGGAGCAAGATTTATGTAGAAATATGGGACAACCTTGAATAAAATAATTGGAAAATTGCAAATTTATTTCTCGTGTAGTAAAAAAGACCAATAATAAGAACAATAGCCTCAATAAATAGAGACTCCTAGAATTATTGAGTCTTCAAGTGTGGTCTCAATATATAAGAACTTTGTTGAAGAATATTTATAACTCAAATTTTCAATTGAATTAAATACAAAAATAAGCATAAACTTACCGAATCATCTTTATCCATTTGGATTCATGTAACATCTACTGCAAATGTTGAGATTGAGCAACCAGATTGTGCATTTAGAAATTGAAAAAAAAAATGTAAAATGTTCAATAAAAACCGTAGAAAAATGGCACAAAGGCTTCAATACAAACTAATCTATTCCTGATAAGAGAGAATTAATAAAAATACCAAGCAAACTCTCTTTCAGTTTGCTGAAATTATTGTAAACGTAAACATGTCATGCTAGTTGAAAGAGGATGCCATCTTTTTTTTCGATTTCATGGCTGTCATTAGTGTCAATTTTTAAAGTACTTCGGTTGAATGCAACCATTTGTTTGGGTTTGCTGTTTTGATTTTTTATCCTTGTTTTTCTCATAAAAAAAAAACAAGATGAAAGATGCTCCGAGCGCTCAGTGTTTCAAAACAAAATTACAACAATTTGACAGTTGACATCCTAATGCAAACAAAAACTTTTCATTTTCCAAAACAACCTATTTTCTCAAAAAAAAAAAAAAAAAATGCTTTTTATTTAATTTTTGAATGGTTCTAGCATGTCCAACGATGAAAATTCATTGGGCGAAAATCGCCAAGTGCCTGTGGAAACATACAAGTGTTCTCAGTGTAACTTTTACACAAACCACGAATATTATTTGCAACAACACAATCTGACCCACGGCCTACAAGCCCTGATGGAGCACTACAGGCGAAACAATCAGCCTTTCGATTCGAATACCACATCTAAAATGTTACAATGTTCAGAATGTAACTTCCAAACGAATCAGGAACCTTTTTACAAAGAACACATTCAAACTCACAATAATTACAGAGTTCCAATGCAAGAGTTTGAAGATTATAAAACTCCAGTGGAATCGTTTGGGTTTGATACTGAACATGTTAAATTAAAAAGCCAGCAAAGTACCACTTTTGAATGTCCCGTTAATTGTTGTACGTATGAAACTCGTGATGAAAATGAATTGAAACAACACAGTTTCAATCATGATTTACAAACTCCTTGTCCTGAATATTTTAGGTAAGAATTTTTTGAATTAAGTAGTTGGTTTAATATTGATTTTTCATGTTGTTGTTGTTCACTGGAAGATATTGAAATTTTTTTAGTATGACGAGCTCCTAGTTATTGTGTTTTTATAGTAAAAGTTTCATAATTTTTCCTTTAGTAGTTTTTCAGAAAAATATTAAAATGCAAGAGATTGCATGTTTGTTTAATTTAGATTTTACAAGTTAATTTTCCATGGTGTTGTTTTTCACTGGAAAATTTTGAAATTTTAGTATTATAATGAGCTCCTAATTTTCCTCTTTTTATCCTGAAAGTTTCATTATTTTCCTTTCTGTAGTTTTTCAGAAAAACATTAAAATGTAGGTATGGGATCACATTTATGCTTAGGTAATTTAAATTTTGCAAGTTGATTGTCATTAATTTCTCATGGTGTTGTTTTTTACTGGAAAACTTTGAAATTTAAGTATAATGAGCTCCTAGTTTTCCTCTTTCAACCCTGAAAGTTTCATAATTTTCCCAAGGGGTGTCTCATGGTCGGAAATAGGTGTACAAAGTCGAGTACAAATCTCAAAATAATTTCTGAAAATGTTGAGAAATTACAGAAATTTCCTGTAAATTGTCACCAATTATGTTCAAAATTCAAAATTTTATTCACGCAAAAAGCATTCTACAAATAGTCAAAATCTTACAATAAATAAATTACAGTCAAACAAAAAATAGATATGACAATCTTAATTAACAAACAGAACCTTAAAAATAACGCAAAAAGCACAACATAGAGATAAAATAATACGATCAGTCAACAAAAAATTATTTCAAGATGGCAAAAGATACATTTAAAGATACAAGCTCTTCTCCACTTTGCTACTAAATTTACTAAACGAATCACAGAATATATCAAGATCATTTTTCTTTATCACATCATTAGCTAGTTTACACATTCTATTTAGAGGCGAATTCATCCCATAATTAGTTCTATGGAATTCAATATCAAAAAGCTCTTTATTCCTGACGTTTACAGCCGAAACACGAATGCCCACCGCCGCAAGTAGGTCAGGTGCATCTATAATACTATTAAAAATTTTGTAAAAGGTTATAATATCAAAATACTTTCTCCTATTCTCAAGTGATGCAATACCAAGTACTCTCATAATGTCATTATAATTTATTTGATCATGCAGGACGTTTAATTTAAATGCAATTCTACTAAAAAACTTATGTTGAACCCGCTCAAGCTTTTTGACATGCACATTATAGTGAGGATGCCATACACATGTTGCATACTCCAACACAGAGCGAACCAATGCACAATAAATCTCTCTAAAAGTATATATATTCTCAAACCCACGCAGAGTTCGAAAGACAAATCCCAGGAGCCGCATGGCTTTATTGGTAATTATGTCAATGTGATTAATAAAAGATAACTCTGAATCAAGCCATACACCGAGATCCTTTACTAAAACCTGCCTTTCAAGCCCTACTGAGTTGACACCATAATTAAATACAATAGGAGTCTTTGATCTACTAAAAGTAACAATTGAACATTTGCGTCTGTAGTCGTGATAGAACAGTTGTTACGGAATTGAGTTGTATAAATAGTTTTTTTAATATGTTAATTAACTGAGAGAGTGATTGAAAGTTGAATAAACATTGTTAAAATAAAAATATTACCAATTTAAGAAGCCGATGTTTGTATAAAATACGTATGTCCTTGCTTGATTCATAAGTATATATGAGTACCTAATTATAATAAAATAAAAGTTCACCTACATACTTGGTTAGTAAATGTACTTCAATAATCCAAAAAAATTGAAAAATAAATGACTGAACTAGTGATAAATAAATAAATAAACAATTCACCAACAATCACAACACAACACACAACCTCACTTTCTCTCAGCTGGTTTTAGACTCGACGTACGTCCACCGAAAACAGACACTTTTAATTAAAATCATTTGTATTTTTAATTCATAGGTCTAAAAAAACAATTAGAGCATGAATTATAGAGAAATATGTTCAAAGTTTGATGTACAATAGGTTCCAATACTAAGAAATGCCCAGAACCCAAGATATTCCCGTCTGAAAATCACTCTTTTGAATCCCCCATAAGAAATACATTGCTGTCAAATTTGTTGAAATGCGTTTAGGAACCCATTTTAAATTTCGCCCCCGATTTCTCTTAACCTAACTAATATGGTCAATCGTTAAGTGATTTGATTGTCATAAATAATTTCAAATCGTCGGCAAAAGCCAGAAACTGGCAAACACGAAAAACACCCCTCACATCATTAATGAAGCAGTTAAATAGAAATGTTGACAGGTGCCCACCTTGTGGAACACCCGATGTAACAGCAAATTCGGAGGATATTATAGTTTTTTATTTTTACTGCCTGCCTTTGTCCCTTAAGATTACTCTCAAACCAACTGAGCACTGCTCCAAAGATCCCAACGGATTTGAGTTTCCTCACCAATATGCCATGATCTACACTGTCAAAAGCCTTCGAGAAATCAGTGTAAACAGAATCAACTTGACCCCCATTCTCGCAGGCTTCCAACAGACATCGCTCATAGCATAAAAGATTGGATACAGTGGACCTTCCTTTCATAAAACCATGCTGCTCGTTTATAATGATATGTTTGAAAAGTGGAGTTATTTTTTCGGCAACCATGGCTTCGAAGATTTTAGAAATTAATGAAGCTTTTGAAATAGCATGGTAGTTTTTTATGTCTGACCTATTCCCCTGCTTAAAGATCGGGGTGACATATGACAATTTCCAACATGAGGGATATTTTCCGCTACTCAAAGACAGATTGAAAAGTTTACATAACACTTCGGACAAGACAAACTTACAATTCTTCAACAGAACAATAGGCACCCCATCGGGCCCAGGGCCTAAACTAAGTTTAAAATCATCAATCTTATCAAAAACGTCCATCACAGAGAGTTTGAGGTCACCAAGTGAGACCGATTTATCACAGTAAAACATTCCATCTCCATCTGAATCAAATTCTACATACTCCGAGTACACCGATGAAAAATGAGTGCCAAACATCTCCGAGATTTCCTGAGGATCACTGCTTTCTTGTTTATTGAAGTTCATACACTGTGGATACTCTGTGTTTGTTCCCTTTTCTTGAATTCACAAAGCTCCAAAATGATTTTTTGTCACACAACTGCCCTTCTAGTTCTTTCATGTAATTTTTATATGAAGATTGTGAGGTATCTCTGCATTTTGATCGCAAATCAGAAAAAACAGTGTAATCATCAATCGAGTCATCAATTGAATTTGTGATTTTAAATTTTTTATGAGCCTTTTTCTTTGTGATGATCAATTTTTTCAGCTCATCATTCATCCATCCAGGAAACTTTGGTGATTTGTATCGAGAGGTTGGTGTGTACAGGGTGTCCGAATTTGGATGGTTTTAATAGGAAACATCAATTTCTGAGCAAGATACAAAAAAATTAACCCCCCTCTCCGAGGCTCAAATTTCATGAATTTTTGATTGGTGCAAATCGCATTTTGATATCTTCAACCGTTTAGCCGCTAGAGGGCGATTCTCGATTTTGAGCAATAATGTGAAACCATCATAACCGATCATAACTTTTTTGTTTATGAAAATTATTGATTTCCGTAAAAACTTTCTAAAAGCACTTTTTCAAGCAGAATTCAGTGACGTTCTCAGTTTTTTTCTAGTTGGTCCCAACTCCGAGATATTGACCAAAGTCTGTTTTTTTTCAATAGGACACTCTATATATTAATAGCTCATTAGAAAGCTCGGCTTTTTCTGATTTCAATGATATAAAGTTCGATAGGTTTATCTCTAATAGTTTTCGAGAAAAAAAATTATTTCGGTTTTTGTCATAAGAAGTAATGTGTAAGAAAAGGACTTTATATCTGTAAGGAAACTGAGAAAGGTCTCTTTCTAACTCATTGTTTCTTATGACAAAAGCCGAAATATTTTTTTTTCTCAAAAACTGTTAGAGATAAACCTATCGAAATTTTTATCATTGAAATCAGCAAAATCTTGAAATCGAGGCCCAATAGAAGAAAACTGAAAACGTCACTGAATTCTGCTTCAAAAAGTGCTTCTAGGAAGTTTTTACAGAAATCAGTTATTTTTATAAACAAAAAAGTTATGAAGATTTCACAGTATTTCTCAAAATCGAGAATCGCCCTCTAGCGGCTAAACGGTTGAAGATATCAAAATGCGGTTTGCGCCAATCTAAATTTCAAGAAATTCGAGCCTCGGAGTGGGGGGTTCATTTTTTTGTATCTCGCTCAGAAATTGACGTTTCCTATTAAAACCATCCAAATTCGGACACCCTGTACATCTCAATTGCGTAATACAGAGTATCATAAAAATGTGAGACTGCCACATCCACATCAGGACACAATTGTAATAAACATAGTCACATAACATATTCTTTGGTACGCAGTCTAAAATGAAATTACACTCAAAAGCTGGGTGTGGAGCATCCAACTTCAACAAAGGGTTGTCGGACAATGAGACATTGACATTCACATGGTTGCTAAACAATAGATCCAAAAAATTTCCATATTTATGGGGAACTTGGTTGTTTTGGTACAAACCCAAATATGCAGCACAATCAGACAATACAGTTGCCTCATTTGTCACCACTCCGACCAGGAATGTTCCATCCTTACCATTGATCCATGTCAGTTTTGGCAAGTTGAAATCGCCCCACAAAAAAATGTCCGTGAAATCAGTTTGATCAACAAGATGCAGAACAGAGAGACTAAAACTCTCATATACATCAACATCTGAGACACCTGGTATATATGCATTCCCTATCAGGATCCTATGACTGCCAACAGAAACCAGAACAAAGACACATTCCACATTATCGAGAGGAGTATTTAGAGCGCGACAGGAGAGCGTATTCCTAACTGCAATAAGCACCCCACCCTGAGACAAGCAAGAACTGGTTCTGATTGATCTATCACATCTGTATATAAGGTATCCATCAAGGCCGAGTTCACTGGATAAATGC